AGGATGGGGAAACTCTCTGGTAGATGATATTCTAGACGTACGTGTACGTCCAGGAGTACGTGGTCCAACTGCTGGTGGCAACAAGTTATTCAGTGAGAGAATGTGGTCGGGCACTTCTCACTCGACTTCATTTGGTACAGGAAATATTGTTTCCGTATATGCCACTCTCCAATAATCAGTCATGTTATACACACTGCATAAGGTGTGTGGTGGTAATCCTCTATGCATAGCCACTGCATGCGTACACGGAAAACTCTCCAACTGAAACCGTCTACACGTGTACGTGTTATCATTCAAGTCCACAATGTATCCGAAATTACGTGCACATCTCACGGAGAAGCGAAATTGATCCAGTAGTTCTACATATACCTTTCTTGCCACATCTAGATTCTTGAAGAGTTTATCTTCTTGAGTCGGGGTTAGCACACTTGCACAATTTTGTGATTCCTCACGTCGATCATGAAACCACTGTTGTAGCTTGTCACGAATGTTCTCAATCATTGCGAGAATTGGTAACTCTCGATCTTTCTTAAATAAAGCGTTAAGCGACTCCGCATTGTTCGACATCCTGGAAAATGTGATCGTGCCCAATGTTCAATCCCCATCTTTGTTAGATACTCCCATGCAGTATGCGATTTACTCTCTATTTCGACTATGAACTTATCAAACTCTTCAAAACTGTAAGCTTCTGCAGCTCTCCTAAACAACGTAGCGACGCCATTGCCTCGATACCTGGTCTTCAAGTTTCCTTGTATATGGTACATACAATAACCATGATGTGCCTCGGGGAAGACTTCGGCGATACCATTTATTATTAACTGCCCTCGATCGGTTACAAATGCAAGATTTTCGATATCTCCAATTACTTCCCTCAACTTCGTGAAAAACCAACTCATCGCTACATCATTTTCTCCGTCAACTATGCCGAATGCAAGAGGGTAAATTTGGATATTCGCATCTTGGCATGTTGCAATAATCAACTTGTCCCCGTATCTCGCCTTAAGGGTTGTACCGTCGACTAAGATTAGGGGTCGTATTGCATTTCGAAATCCTCGAACACATTGTCCAAGGGACATAAAAAAATATTTGAAGCGATTTTCGTCATCCTTCTCAATAAAAAATGCCGACCCAGTATTAATTCTTCCCATGTTATAGCAATACCTGGCCAATATAAATAAAAATAATTATAATTTAGATAATATATTAAATATTAAATAAACAGAAAAATAAACAATTCAATTAAATAATTAATTACATATAAATAAACAATTGAAATTAAATAATTAAAATTTAAAATAACAAAGAAATAAACACTTAAACAATGAAATACATGGCTAATTTAGTATAACTTTCCTCGGTCGAAACCATCAAATCCTTTAATGCACATTTTTTAGCCTTCCAAACCTTCTGATAGCTCATGACCACCCCGTACTCTCGTCGAACGTCATTAATGATGTCCGAAAGTCTGTAGATTGTTCGTGGATCCTGAAACTTGTGCATTATTTCTCGACCAATGAACCATGATCGGGCCTGCCTATGATCATTTCGACGAATACTCACTTCGCAAGTATATTCCCGTGCATACTTACGGACTACAAAGAACTTATTCGTGTCCATCTTAGTCACTCGCAAACGCCAATGGCAATTGTCGTCAACGCAGATAATTGTGTAAGTCGACTTGTTTGATTTCTTCACTTTAAACTCGAAGTTATGTTTTAAAGCAATCCGATGCACAACTTCTTGCAATTCTTTCTTTGATTCGAATAGTTGCTCGACATATACATTTTCATCATCGGGAACTACACGCGAACAATTAGAGAACCGTGTACTTGGTCCAGCCTGTGAGCTCCCACCCGACTCGTGTCTCCTACGGGATAAAGCAATCAAATTCTCGTTTGTAAATGCGTTTTCATTCTCGTTGTCTTCAAGTATCGATGGAATTCTGTGCGTAGCAGTGTGATTATGGTGAGTAGTAGTGGTCTGGAGAATAACCACATCATCTTCACGAACAATCTGAATTGTATCCCAAACATCATTTACATTACGATTCTTTTCATTTGAAACTTCGTGTTCACCCTCGTGGACATTCTTCCCCAATAAAGTTACGCAAATAGGAGTCGACTTTCGGCCTTGGTTCAATTTAATTAGATGTTTCATTTCCACTTCAGAAGTAAATTTCATAGGTGGAATTGGAATTGTTGAATGCTTATGAAACAAAAATCCTAATTCCATATCGTACTAAGAGGGATCGACGTTAAGCATGTTTTGTATCTCACTGTACATTTCTGCAAATGATGTACTCCTTGTTATAAAAATTATTTTAACCTCATCTCCTTCACTCGTCCATTTCCATTCCCACTGAATATTTTTATTCATTTGAAATTCACCCAAGTAATAAATTGGGACACATGTTGATGCTATATCTGCTACAAAATAAAAATAAAGAATTAATATATAATTTTTTTAATTGTTCATTTTATATTTAATTTAATTTTATACTTTAAATAATTCATTGATTATTTTAATTGTTTCAAAAATATTTATTTCAATTAGTATTAAATATTCATTAATATTTATTTCAATAAACATATATTAATGAACAAATAAATTATAAAATCTGAAAGGGAAGGGGAAGAAAAAAATAAAAAAATTAAGCCGGCTGGGCCGGCTGCACTTTTTTGGTCCGTTTAATCTGGAATTTACGCTCGAATTATTTATTTTTTCCCCTTTTCAATGAAATAATGTTTAAATATTTATTTTACAGGCACATATAAATTTTTCCTGTAAAATATATGCATACAGAGATGAATTTTTTTGTTGTTTTTGCTATAAAAAAATTATACATCTGTGTTTAAATACTGTAAAATTCATCTGCCTTTGTCAAAAAAAGATTTAAAGATTCAAACAGTAAATTTAACTAAAACAAAATTAAATATACGTATTTACACTTTCCAATTTTCAGTGCCGACTGTGAGTATTGTTTCTTTGTTGAACCTTTGATAATTTTGGGGGATTTCAATATTCTAGCAGATGGAAGGAAAAAATTCTTTTTTACTGTATTGGAGAAACTGATAAGTAAAACTGATTTTGAAATTTACGTATGGAAGTAACTGAATTTATTTAAACTTTTAAGGGAATTATTGTCTTTCAAAGAATTGATATATTTTTGTAATTGTGAAACATAAATAAGGGTACAATTGTCTTTTTATTGACAAGAGGCCAATGTGGTGAATACAAAAAAAAAATGGTCAAACTAAAAAATTGGTTGTTTGACCTAGCCAATTTAAAAAGTACCCCTATAGATATAGACCGAGCTACCATGCATTCGGTTCACACCACCCTCACATCGGGAGCCTTAGCCAATAAAAAATCGTGCGGGCCCCACAGCACAATGAGGGTGCTGTAAATGTGCTGTGGTATTTGTAACATGACATGATACACATTGAAAACACTCTGGTTGGAGGGTGGACGGTATTCCAGAGAAATAAGCTTACATCATCTCTTACGTCATCATCATCTTAGTTGCAGCTTCCTAGTACTAACCCCCCAAAAGAATATTATTCCAAAGGTTCCAAAAAGTTCAAACTTTCCGTAGAATTTAAAAGGTTGAAAATCTTGAAATTTACACCCCGTTTGAACCCTATTATTTCTCATTATAGTGCTTTGAATAATATTCTATTTGAAAGATGAGCGGTTAAAAATTTTTTTATTTACGTGTAATATTATTTTATTAAAAATTGTGAGGTTAAAAGTAGGAAAGAGAAAAATTTAATTTAATATAATGAGAAATAATGAGGTTCAAATGGGAGCTTAGAACCTACATTGTAAATAGAGAAATTACAAGTTAATGGAAAGTGCAATAAAAATTACTCTACTAAGTCTAATAAAATTAAACTAATATTATCAAAATTTATAACGAAAAAAGTCACTTTGAAAAAGAGTTTCTTTAATAGCCTTTTCAATTAATTACTCTATTTAGCGATCTTTTTATTCTTTTGGGTAACAATACATCATCATAAACTCAGCAATTGCCAAAAATCATCCAATATTAGCATACGTGGAATTAATATATTTTCCTTCGAAATTTACCACGGACAAAGCACTAGTTGTTTGAATCTCATTTTTTGAGTAAAATAGAAATTGTGATAGTAATTTTTTGAAAAAAATATATGATTAAATAGTAGAGAATAATTTAAATTTATTTTATTTAAGAAAATGTATAATTAAAAATAAATTTGTAAAAAAATCTGTAGAATAGAATTAGAAAAGGGTGTTATCAATTGAAATTGTGATGAATTTTAACTTTTTTCCTAAATTTAGATGTCATCAATTTAGATTTTAATGAAATTCAATGAAATCATACAAAATTTAAGTATTCTCAATAATTAGTGAATTTATAAAAATTTCATTAATAGATGAAATTTAAAAGATTTGAATGAATTTCAAGTTTAGAAATATATATTTCAAATGTTATGAAATTTCGTCATATTTGATTTGTGTTTGGGAGACATTTTTATATAAAAATGTATTTTTGAATAGTAAATTGATGGAAAATATGTGGTTGAAAATTAAGAAATTTTTTTGATTTACGTGTAATATTATTTTAATAAAAAATGTGTTGTTAAAAAGAAGAGAGAGAAAAATGCATTTTAAAAAAAATGGGTACCAAACAAAGCCTTGATGAGATTCTTATTAAATTTGTGAATATTTATTTAAATCTATGAAATTTATTAAGATTTATAATTTTTTAAAATCTATCATAATTTTATTTGAGTACACCCCGTAAAACGTGAGCTAGTCCATAGCTTGCAAGACGTAATACTTTAGTCAAAAATGGCACTTTTCTAAGGAAAGATTCCTTATACGCAACCAATTGGATTTATTGCTTAGCTGTCATTACCATATATCGTTGGCTGTACCTAGTAACCTACCACCATACAAGAACCGCACACCTAATTAGAATAACCAATCAGACGAAATAAAATATTATTTTTAAGTGATTAAAGAAGGGAAAAAACTCCCCTCTCTGGCCTATAAATACCCCCCTTCTGCTCCTTTGTAAACCTTCTTTCCCCCAACTTTTCTAAGGCAGCCTCTTTGTTCATCGGGTAAGTTCTCCCTTTCTTTCTTTTTTGTTTTTGTTTTTATTTTTTCTGTTTTTTAATTTTGAGTTATTTGTTTTCTGCGTTTCTATTTTTTTTTTATGTTTAGGTTTTTTGGTTTTGGTGATTAGTTGTAGTAAATCGATGTTATTTCTCTATGATTTTGCAGATTGTTTGAAAGTTGAATTGCTCAGGTTCTTTCAGATCTAGGGTTTCTTTTACAGCGCTATAATACTCGAATCAGAGACCGAGAGTTTGATTTGTGATCGCAGTTCTATGATTCTGTTCATTTTTCCGTGTAGATCTTTATGACATACCCTATCCTGATGCGTCGAATTCGAATTCTCCACTCATTCTCAGTTGTTTTCCTCTACCATTTCTACGTTTTTTCATGAATCAGCCCCTTTGATACTTCAAATCCCTAATTTTGCCTTGCCAGAATTCCCAAATTTATTGACTATTTAGACCCTCACTTTTTATAGATCTAACTTTCAAATCGTAATCCTCTGAGAGTTAATTGTAAAAACACATTCAAATTCTGTTAACTGTTTATTTAAAGAGCCAAAAAATGTCTACAAAACAGCAGCCAACTAGTTCGGGTTCCGATGTGGACCAACGCTATGCTGTGCATGATGAAAGGAAAAGGAAGAGAATGATATCCAACCGGGAATCTGCGCGCAGGTCTCGGATGAGGAAGCAGCAACATCTGGATGAGATGGTTGGTCAAGCAAGCCGGCTGCAGAACGAGAACAATCTCCTTTCACAGAAAATCAATAACACCACTCAACTTTACCTTGGCATTGCCTCGGAGAACAACGTGCTGAGAGCTCAGCTTGGAGAGCTGACTGATCGTCTAATATCACTGAACTCTGTTCTTGAAATTGTGTCTGATGTTAGTGGGCTGGCGGTGGATATTCCCGATATCCCTGATACCTTACTCGAGCCATGGCAGCTGCCTTGCCCAATACAGCCCATCACTGCATCTGCCGATATGTTTCAGTGCTGAATAATAGTAGAAGTCTCCACTGAGGCATTGCTGGTTCTGCTATTGTAAAATGTGTCATCAGTTGTCATGCTTTGTTTTCCTTTTCGGTATGTCGTTTGAATCTAGAATGTTAGGGTATTAACTATTATTGGTGCATATGGTTGATACAGAGTACTTGATGTTACTGGATAGTCGAGTCTCCTTCAATACTATCGAGTTTTGTCTTTGCCTATCTTGTCAAACATGCTATAAGGGTTTTGCAGATGTTGCTTCGGAGTCAGATTACTTGTTTGCCTGGATGTAAATTGATCGATGGTTTCTGTCTGTAAAAACTATTTTACTGGATTGATAGTTTCTTGGTGTATAAATTTTTGTCAAGTCAATGTTGTATGAATTTTTTTTTTGGTGGTGCTTCTCTTTTATTTCACAAATCCTACTACGAAGTGAAAACAGGCAAAATGCAAAGAAAATGTTAGATTAGATATTACAAAGTGTAATGCTATTCAAAACGGATTGTGGCGAGGACTAATTTTGATGGCAACTATATGGATAGATTTACTTAAATGCAATATCACGTAATTCATTTAATTGAATTTATTAGATTGTTTAAATTGATACTTTAGCATGACGGGTGTTAAAGAGTCGTATTCTTATTTAGCACGTCAATGACTTGATTTTAGTCTATAAATGGTAATCTATCCAATAGATATATTTGTCCCTACAAAGATGGAAAATTTACTCTCCCTTTTACCCCCAACGTTGATTAATTAGCGTTTAAGATTGGGTTGGTCATACTTGAAGAAAAACTGTCACTACACAAAAAAGTGACAAATAGGATAAAATGAAATTGTATCAATAGATGGTTATAGTTCGATATTTGAAAAGTTATTCACTTTGGTATTAATATAATAAAACTACCATTATCCTATGATGTTTAATGATACAAATTTCTATACTTTCTAATTTATTTTGCATAAAAAAATAGATTGTTGCACAACAAAATTCATACGATATTGACTTCTTTCGTAATAGAATAGAATAATGATATCTAGCTAAAACACCATCACATATGATATGCAGGTAGCTTTAAATGATAAGACCAATCAAGCCCCTGTTTGAGCCTCTTCTAGGAAAAAAAATGCATTATTCATGTAAATCAATGAGAAATGCGTGGTTAAAAAATAAGGAAAAATATTAGATTTGCGTGTATTATTATTTTATTAAAAAATGTATGGTTGAAATAATGTCAAATCACTGTTGAAGAATGTATTTTTTTGAAAATAATGTGACTCAAACAGAGGCTAAATGTAAGTGTTACATGGCTCATTTAATTTGATCTACCATGCTGCCAGTAAGATAATTTTTTAGCACTAGTAAAACAACATAACATTACTCCCTAAATAAAGAGATGTATTCAAGAATTTAAACCATTCCCAACATATCATATGCAATAGCTATTCATCCGCCCCCAGGGCATATCTCCCAGTGGCAAAGGGGAGGGCAGATAGGGCTCAGCGCGGCAGTGTGTAGAGTTCGATTCCCCGCAAGGTGGAATTGGCTTTGTTGCAAGCGGGAGTTACCATATGGGTTAACAGCCTTGGCCTATTCATGTGCTCTCCACCCTGGTTCCTGGGAGGCACATCCTGCGATTTACCTCCTCCACGATGGCCCAGGACAGGGTCGGTGGGGCCTCTTAAGATTGGGGTTCAACCTTTTTTTTAGCTATTCATCCATTTTGTATCGTATATAAATCATCAACTGCATCATGTGGATAGTATCCAACTCAACCTCAAGGGCCTATGTGGGATAATCAATGTTTTGAAAATCAAATCAGACACCAATTCAAAAATGTACCTTATCTCATAATTGAGAAATTTTATGGTTCCAATTTCAAGTATTCTCTTATCTCTTATCCATGTGTACTATTTAGATGGAATACAATCACACATTCTTGCTAAGAGAATGAAGTAAAGGGTATAAATGTTGAACTGTTTTGATTCAGAATCGAACCATTTGGCAAAAATAATTATAAATCTACATATGTAAAAAAAAAAAAAAAAAAAAGGCTCCAAACCTAGTCAGTCATTGACACCAATAAAATCATGACATTGGCAAGCATACTCATTTCTAATTTATTATCGTGATTAAACAAAGTATTCTTTATTTAATTAACAGTTTAGTGCAACACAAAAGATAGATATGTCAAATAAAAGTGGATATCAGCCTATTTCTAGATTTTGAGAATTGAGACGAACATAGCCATAGTCATCATTAGAAGAACGCCGGGATGAAAGAGAAAAGGAGAAATTGAAAAACTCGTAGATATAAAAAAGGACTTTGCTACACGTACATTGGCGTGTACATAAGGGTGTTCATAATTGACACTCAGCGCCTCCTTATTGGAGGGGGCGCCTGGCCCACCGGCACCCCCTCCAATAGGGGGACGCCGAGTGTCCATTATGGACACCCTCATGTACACACCATTGTACAACAAAAATAATCCTATAAAAAATAGGAAGCAAAAAGAAAAATAATATTAAAGAGGGGAAATAAGGGCCCGTTTGTGCCCCTTTAATTTCAAAAAGTGTATTATAAAATAGTGATTGATATTGAAATGTGTGGTTAAAAAAGAATGAAAAATTTTGATTTACATGTAATTAATTTCAATGAAAAATGTGTGATTAAGAATGAGTACCGTAGAAAAAATAATGTGATAGAATGTTATAGAATAGTTGACAAACAATGGCTAAATCAACTCCAATCCTCGTTCCTCCAACTGCATTAGTAAGGTGAGAAGGTCAATGATCACTTCAAGATCTAGAAGAAATTAAAAATTGTCGACGTTTTTCTATTATATAAATTGGCTTCTAACCGGTCAATTTGTGAAAGTGGTATGCGGGTGGACCGATTTTTGATTAATTGACTAGTTTAGTGATTTTGGAATCGATTTTTCGAGCATAATTGAATCAATTTTGCGACGAGTTCCAATTTTTTCTGGTTAAGCTAATCTACTTTGTTCGATTTTCAGAACATTGAGGATAACCTAACATCACCATGGACATATGGCTATTTTGCACGTCACACAACCTACAATATTTGGTCTTTTCACTTATTTTGGAGGACTTAATTTGTCCCAATAATCATTAAAATTAGGTTGATGTCTTCAATTGCTAACTACACTTTAAGATGTTGAGTTTTAATCACTAACTTCTCAAAGTGTCAAATGTTATTCACTGGAATCACTCTCATTCGCGTTTTTAATGAAATAGTTGACCTATCATATGTATTTTGCAACTTGCGCCCCATCCATGTTAGATACCCAATCACGAAATAGGGGCAGTCCACGTTAGGAAGGCATTTTTAATTGCTTACTATATTTTGATAGACATTTTTTATTGCTTATGTTCTAAAAGAGACACCAAAATTATATGGAAACATGAGTCTTATTATTATTATTATTATTATTATTATTATTATTATTATTATTATGTGTTTAATATTGTGTTATTATGTGTTTAGAAAGATTTTTCCAGGTTGAACATTTTATTGAGTTACTTCGTTGTTGAAATTATTACGTGGTATTATGGCATGTTGAATGGTAACATCTGAACATTTAGGTTTTCTTGAAATTATATTGCAAATTCTATAAGAGTTAATGAATGTGTCTGCTTGTTGATATACTTGTTTATATTTTTGAGTTTTATAGAATACTAAAAGGACAACATATTTTCATATTATCGGTGCCATTAATGACACATGATCTTCAGTATATGGAATAAAAAAGGTTATTTGAAAAAGGGGTGTAACACTTCAAATAGTAATGTCTGAACGAAATCATATTAGTAAAACTGCTAGTAAGGAATGGTGATCGAGTTTAATTTGATTGTCCCTTATTTATATTTCATCAAGAACAATTCAGTAAAATGTTCAACTTGAAAAACACTTTCTAAACACATAATAACACAGCATTAAACACAAAAAATAAACAAAACACGTTTCCATATCATCTTAGTGCATTTTGAGAAGCTTAGTAGTTAAAACTCGATCAATTTAAAGTATATTGAGCAACTAAGGACGTTTGGCAAAGTATAATGAGTTATCAAAAATGCCTTACCTAAATGGACTGTCCATCTATTGTGATTTGGCATCTAATGATCGCGCCAACGATAAAATTCGTGTTCCAAATCAGCTAATCCGTGACAAACGAAAAGTGATTACAATTAGTAACGTTCAACAGTTTGAGGAGTTAAGTGGGCAAAATTCAACATCTTATAATTTAGTTAGCAATCGAAGACACTAATCTAAATACAACAAATATTGGAACAATTAACTCTAATACGGAGTATTGATAGATATTGATGTAAGAAATTAAAATTTGAAAAACACTTGAAACATACGAAAAATAGCTGTATGATTCAGTGTAATAAATATTTATATTAGTGGAACATGATTAAACAAAAGTATAAAACCGTTACAACATCAAATGACCATAATTAAATCCTAACACAACCACGATAAAATAATCAATTATCATAAGTGCGGCACTCATCAGTCTCCGGGTTTTCCTTGCAGTAAGTTTCCAACGGGTCGGACTCTTTCTTCTTGTCCCGGGCATGGCTGGCCTCTGCGCTCAGCTCCTCCACCTCATCCCACGCCGCCGCGCACTCGCCGGAGGTGGCGTTTTCGGAGCATGATTCCTCGGCGTTCTTCACGCTCTCTGCCAATTTCTCCGAAAGGCCCTCAGGGGCGGCGGCCACTGGGCGAACATACATCCCATTTCGCCCAAATTCAGTGCACCTCTTCCACGGATTGTTTAGCAATGAAAACTTGATGGATTGTACCTTTTTTGGGGATTCTAATGCCAGTACTTTTGGGGTTGTGAGGCTCACGCCGGTGACTGCAGCCATTGGAATAGTGGTGGGAAGAGTTGTTCTTAGTTCTGTAATTGCTGTACTCTACGGAGATAAGAAACCCTATTACCTGAGAAGATTATATAAATCATTGTGACGGTATTTCACTATTTTACAGCATTGTGGACACAAAATTCTTATCATTTGTCACCCATTAGTAAGCTCCCACGTTAGGCAGCTCACCGGAGATATTTCTACAGAATTATCCTTTTTATGGTCGGTTTGTCTTTCACATAATTTTGGAATTTTGCACGTGCGAGTATGTGTACTCATTGCTTACGTTTGTCGTGCATCGTTAAAAGAGTAATATTATTTACTAACAAATTATTTTATATGACGGCTTGTTATTTGAGATATTAACTTATAACATTATTCGTGTTAAAATATCGTGTTTTTGAACAAATATCTTGATAGTTTACTTTAATTAGTTATTATATTTTAATTTACATCTTATAAATTATATTATTGTTGGCAGCAATTGTATTAGGGTCCCGTTTGGAAGATATTTTGAGAATTGATTTTTTGACCTTTAGAAGAAAAGTTGGGTCCACTCATGAGAGAAAAAGTCAAAAATTACGGTTGGAATAGTGAAATAATTGTCAAAAAATCAATTTTTTGGGATAAAAAATCCTTCCCAAACAAGCTCTAGAATTTTAAACAATATTATATCCATTATATAATGTCTGATCCTTGAAATTTTGACATGAATTGAATTTCTCTCACTAATTTATGCACGATTTTATTATTTTAATACACACCTTTATAAAAATGGTGCCGCTATTTACATTCATAATTTTTATATATGCATCTCACTCTTTATATATTCCTATTAAAATATTACAATTTTTTAAAATTATTATTTTCATTCGTGTCGAATTTCAATATTATTCTTATTAAATTCATTCATTTAAACATTATGATCTATAGATCCGTACAAAATTTTCATCCTACTGCATTCCTAATATAATTTCATAAATTTAAAAAAATTCCTATATTCATTTAATCACTATCAACATTTAATCTTATTTTTACTTTTCATTTTCATTTTCTATATTGTCATTTTGGTGCTTTAATATTTAGTTATAACAGTTTGCAAATCCTTTGTCTTGAATTTATAGGATTCTATCTAGAGTATATAGCTCAAGCAACCCAACAAGTCCCTCCTCAAATCATATCTTAATAATTTTTTTATTTTTTTTCCTTATAATCTCATAATTTTGTCTGTTTGTGTTTTGACTAATAATTTTAAGTTTGATTCCTTTTATAATGTAAAAATATTTGAACGGATATTGAAACTAATTTTGAAATTTCTCGTATATTTTCATCTGTCAAACCAATACTTAAAAAAATATAAAAAATAATATTCAATTTTCATATCACGAAAGAATTTTAACTTTAATAATGTGTTGATTTTTTATTTTTTTTTAAAATTTCAATTGAAGAAGATATTTTATAATTAGGGTTTCATGATTTTAGATGAATATGATATTTTATTATTATTAGAATTTTAGTTAAACACAAACTCTAAAAGAAAATAAAAATATTTAAAAGAATTTATAAAAGTAAATATTAATGGATGAAGTTAGAACGATATATTTTTATTTAAAAAGGGTATTTTATGGTAATATCTTGCCTGTAGTCTCAGTCAATTATGACAACTATCTGATACAATATACTGTATAACAGTTGAATTTCTGAACACTAAAATTTTCACTATCGAGAGTGTCACGGTGGCCCCCTATTGAGTAATAAATTAAGTTTTCCTACAATTACATCAAGTTTGACATTGTGTGAGGTGGTAGCTCTTTTTATAGTAATTTCAAAGAAACTTATTTTAATCAATGGTTAAATTTCATCCATATAGAAGAAATATCATCCATAATATATCCAAAAATGTACAACCATCATAATTGAATTAATTAAGCCGTAGCTGGGAGCAACTCATAACAGAATTTTAAACTTGGTGCCTCTTAAAAAAAAATGTCCGCCGCACTTTTTCAGTTTAACTTTTGGCTTGACACACCCTTTTTCTTCACTTTGGATCATGATGAACATACGTTTTCCTTCACTTGGAGCATGATGGTTTGTGCATTTGCTGTCTAAGCCCCAACTTTGGTTTAGTTTAAAATCAATTTTTATATTATATTTTAATAAAAATTGATGAACTTGAGAAAAAATAAACTTTTAAAAAACGTGGGCCATAAAAGGGACTTAGTACCTATATATATAGATGATTTTTGGTGGATGTTAAAAAGTCAGAATATACAACAACATACACTAATATAATAATCTAAAAACACCAAAATTTCATAGTTTTTGAATTTATTTTTTGCTTATTAGGATTCTTTACTTTTTGCTTGGTGATTTAGTCTTTTGAGGTTTGTTTAATCCTCTCACTATTTCGTGTACAACATTTGATCACGTTTTCAAACTTTTCTTTATTTTGGATTCCATCTTTTATTTGATGTTCATTATTTTCCTGTTGCAATGAAGATAAAACAATTGCGGTAATAGAGATGGTAGTGGGACGGGGCACCCCATCCCTGCCCAGCCTTGGACTAGATGGGGCGGGGCGACGGCTTGCCTCGTTTTTTTTTTATTTACATTTTTCAAAATTTTGAGTTATGTTATTATTAGTGAATAAAATAAAAATTCAAAATTTTAAAGTCCAAAGTAAATAATGTTCAAACTAACATTTTTTTAATTCTTCATGGGGCAGGGCGGCCATCGGGGCGAGTTTTTTTGGCTCCATTCGGGGCGGGGCATGGGGAGAGTTATTTTGCCATCTTTGTGGGGCTACCATCAAAACTTATGGGCTGAAATTTGATGGCACAAACGTCACCCAATGGCTTTTTTGTACAATATTGGTGGTATGATGTGCTTCATGAATTCAAAAATTTGGGAGTGTAGAAATGCTATACTTGCATGAATTGCATGATGTTCATAATTGTGAATGAGTGTGGAGGTAACTTATAATATGAGAAACGATGTTAAAAATTGTAGGAAATTGCAGCATACTTTGACATAAATTTCGGATCAAGAAACTTACTTGAAAAGATGAATTTCAAAATCTTTGTGTGGTTGAATCACTTTACTATCCAAGCATCAAAATTTGCATTTGCTAGTAGTCCAATGGTCCTAATCCTGATCACAATGGAAGGAGATTATTACCCGCAATCTAAGTGCCAATTTTTGTGAGATTTCATTTTAAAAATATGATTTTTGGGACTTTCCAATTTTGATGGGAATTTCCATACGAAAATTTCCTTTTTTTTATGCCACCACATTTTTTTTTCCATAACTTCTATATGGAGGTTGTAAGAAATTATTTTGAGAGTTATAGATTTAAGTTCCAAATTCAAACCACTCCCTCCAACACTTTTAAAATCTTGCAGGTCAGGTCACCCCACATAGACGATTCATTTTTCGTATTTTTCAACATCTCCCACTTGCACATGATGGGGTTGATCCGAACCATAAGTGACAACGAATATCGCACTTTATCTCATAAAGATTCATACGGCAAATAGATCGTGTGATCAACAAATAATATTAGAGCTCATGGTATTATGAACCTATTAAAAATATATAGTAGCTTTGTTAGAGGAATATCACATCTCGCTATATCCCAAACTCATTTTTCAACATTAATTCAAGTATTTTCGATCCCTTGAGTATTTATGGAACATATTTGAACCCCACATTGTATCATTGTATTCACAATTATATTCTATACCCTAAATGGTTAAATACAATTGTCTGACCGGTGAATACAAATATAAATGTTGGTCAAAATAGCTTTCCCTTCCTACTTAAATTCTTAAATTTTTAATCAATTGTTTTCCTAGACATGCCCCATCAAACCGAATCATTCATACTTATAGTCAACATACTAAAGTAGAAACACTGAAATAAAATCTAAAGAAACAGTTAAAAGTCATAAGGGTATATATGAAGTTATATAAACCTTAGGGTTTCACACAATGAGGAAGCAATGATCCATTTACTTATTTACCCAATATTGGTTGTAAAAGCACATATGGTACGAAACAAGTGCTTCTCCCTTTCTTGGGGCATATGTCATATTATATGTAAACAAATAACATCGTACAGATCGTAGTTCAGGTATTCCCCGATACCTAACTTGAGTTCTCCTTATGTTCATTTCTCCAAGCAATCTCAAATTGAAAATTCGATATGGCTAATAAACAGGATTAATGGATAACAAAATTCATTTCGATTACTTGTTGCAATCTCATCTTGATAACTCATTAAGGTGACTGAATTATGTACACAATATGATTACTTTGTCTCATCTCATCACACTTCTAAGTGTCTGGGGTGATTGCTTGTATAAGTAAACCATACTTAACTTGTTAGACATACTTTATATGTGCATACAAATCATTTATTTCATAACTCATCATTAGATTACACATGAATTCAAAATTGTTCATCTATAGGCATACAAAATTCAATCAAGAGTTTTCTGATACACTAAATATCATATACTACAAAATTCTAGAGATTTGATATCACCAACAAACATATCTCTAGACATCTTCATAGTATAATGGTTACATATCATTATTTACGTAGATACATTGTAATGACATTTTCTTTGTTAATGTCTCTCACAAGAATACTATCACGTGTTTAGTTCCATCTTGATACTTGAGATCTTAACATATAAGATAGTTGCGTAATTATCATGGATCTCATATTATCAATTAGTATCATTAGATGCTCAATACATCTATAACAAACAATTTCTTTAGCTGCTAAGATATACATTACGATATATGATTCTTCCTACTCTATATAGCAAAAGTGCACAAGTCTAGTAACTAATTGTGCTTGACTAATTTTCATTCTTAGTCGACAATTGTATATTTATCCCAATCACAAGTTAATTCTTTGGCAACGAGATAGAATAACTGACAGCGACACCCTTCAGGTATCATAATACATTTTCCAAAGATAATATGAATAACCCACCGACTATATCCATGGCATAATCAATGTTATGGCCAGTAGACATCATACTATACTTCTATCTTCTAACTCTTAATCGTACTAGATATGGTTCTCTGGATATTTCTTTGTGCCTTTTT